ATCCAAAGTTGTTTGTGGAGTAATACAAAAACCTTATTAAATGTTTGGGTCAAGTCTTATGAATATCGAGGAGACAAACTATAAGTTAGATATTTTCTTTAATTTATTAGGAATTACAAAAACGTGATTGATACCTTAGAAAGGGTGTGTCGTATTAGGATTAGAAGTATATTGGAGAGAAGCTCTTAGAAAATCTCGAGTAAAGATATATGGCCAAATATACATCTAATGTCTTATACATAGCACACCAATAACCCCTTATTTGAAGGGAGAGGCCAAAATCAAACGCAATGGAATGGTTATAAAAAATAATAAGAAAAATACATAAATTATCTTAGTAACATCAATCGTGTAGCTAGAAATTCAAATAGTTAGTTATTCTCTATGCATTGAATGTGAATGACTTCCCATAGCAAGAACCTTAAGCATGTTAGAGAATATACGAGTAGCTGAGATATTTAGGAATAATTACTTTTTGAAGTGGGTGACTACTTTGAGTCCCTTACGTGAGTTCAAACTACTGAAATCAAAGCGGAGCTTTATTGGTCTGGGCAATTTGATGAGTTTTCGCTCTAGATGAGTCATGGCAGTAGGCTACTCAGGGCCTTAGGTGACGTTTAGGTATGTTGAGTAATGAGCGAATAATGTTTTTGTGTTGAGTGAGTTTTAATGCCAATTTTAAGGTTATCAATTAACTTGATCAACCAGGCCTAAGTAACCCTTTGGAGTCAAGGAGTAATACCACTAAGCCAAAAACCCAGTGAAAATCTCTTTCCAAATTTTCCAAAAGCATTGGATTTTCTTGCTTTTAAATGATATTATAAGACACTTCATCTTCTCCGCTCATCATATATGACATATCATTATTTCTATGGTTTCTGAAAACAAGAATGGGAAAAGGACATCTGCTGAAGATCAAAATGATAAATGCAGAATTATAGTCTAAATTAACAATCAGGATCAAATGAAAGAGCCTTTTAAGAAACTTTTTACTCAAGAAAAAAATTCAAATCTCAAAAAAAAAAAAAGAAAATCAAGCCCCGCATTAAATGCAATAAAAAGCCATGGCCCCAAATATCAATCTATAAAACATGAACCAAATATCTTTGCCCAATTCAGTTTAACATGATCCAAGGAATCGATGTGTAAATATTGTTAGTATTTCAAAGAAAACGACTAGTGAAATTGAGATCAGAATCTATCTATGCGCTGTCAAAGGGCAATACTATCCACATCAACCAAAAAATCCTTCTAATGATGAACCTAATAGCGTTGATCGTGAGGGCCTGAACCAACAAGACTATCACACAAACTAATTAACTACACGGTGAAAACGATTGATTCAACCGATCTTCCAATCAAATTACCTAATGAAACCGTGGAGAAGACGGATGAAAAAGAAAGTGGAAGCTTCGCTCGTGCTCGAGGATGAAAGTGAGAAGATTTCGAGTATGATTCCAAAAGAAACTGGAGTTATAGGGGTTAGCATCTGGCGTGTTAAAAATGAGGGAAAAGCAGCTTGGAAGGTTGGTGCAATGTCGCCCTCTGGAATAGTTTCGCCTCCGTGTCCAATTTTTTTATCGTTTTGCTTGGGCTATTAACGATCTATAAATATGCTCCCCAAAAATTCTATCCAAAATTTTGGCTCTTAGTTCATGCTTGTTTCGATCCGATCTCTTAAATCAATTGCTCTAGGGTTTCGTTCGATAGCGATTCCCAACGGTGATTCCTCGATTTCTCTCTTTATCTCTATCGTCTCCAGCGAAGACGTTTTCACGCCCTTGCAGCTTTCTCGACGACGCTCGCTCGGAGTCATCCTCCTGTCGACGTCGCTCGCTGGCGTCGTCTCTCCTCATCCGCAGTCGACGATGCTCGCTCGCAGCTCCTTGTTAGGCATCGTGGCTCACATCGTCTCTCTCGTACTCAACGACGCCTCTGTCGCCCTGCCTGATAGACAGTTTTACCAAAATTTGCTCGTCTTTTTGTAGGGCTCGCCTAACCACTTTGGAGATGGCCTTGACAATCCATTCCTATGCCATTGCACTTGTCAGCGACTTTCCTATTCCTACTTGTGCTCCACTTTCAGATTCAAAGCCTAATTTTCGCATTGGCAAGTCCTACAATGTTTCAAAATTTTTCCATGAGGCTCTTCAAGGTGGTGGTGATCACACTTTCATTAAAAAAACTTTGTAAAAAAATAGGAAGTCTGCTATTATTCTCACTGAGGTTGAAACCAGTACTCTCGTATCTTCCTGACGTTTTGCTCTAGTGAGGAAATTCCTTGATGGTCACCCAAAACTTGAGATCATTAAGAAAGATTATGATACTATGAAGCTATTGGGCAGTTGAAATATTGACTTATTTGATATCAACGTATACTTATCCAGTTATCTCACGATGCCAATTGCATTCGTATTTTTTCTCGAAAAGTTATCAAAATCGACAACCGTTTTATGAAATTCTAAAGTGGTCTGTTGATTTTGACAAAAAAGCGGAGTACCCTATCATTCCTGTCTGGATAAAGTTTCCGGGGTTAAAATTATATCTGTTCAAATTGAAAATTCTCTATTTCTTAGCAACTGCTTACAGTAAGCCTCTCAAGTTTGATAGTCCTACGTTTGCTGTCACCAGACCCTCCATGGCCTTTGTGTTAGTTGAGAGAGATATCACTCAACCAGTTCCGAATGAGGTATGGAGTGGAACCACTCACAACGGGTATTGACAAAAGGTTGAAATAGAACCACATCCTCCTTATTGCTCTCATTGTAGTGTGTTTGACCACAATTCTATTATTTGCTATCACTTGCATCCTCATCTAATGTCGGATACCGCTAAAAATAAGCCACCTACCATCCCTGCTGTGAAGGTGCAACCCGATCCTCTATCGAACACCGCAGTTCCTGATTAAGAATACCATACTACAGGTACAGATCCAAACGTGCTTATACCACTCATAGTTATTGAAGAAGACTCACTTACATGCCAAAATACACGAGAGTGCTTCTTTGATCCAATAAAAGATCAGCTGGTACAACAAGTAGTTGCTTCTAATGTTTAACAACCTACATATGTTCGGCTCACTTTAGATAAATCCACTGATCAGGCAAGCCAATCCTCGGATGAGGAATGCAAGTCTATTCCAGGAGGAAGAAGAAGAATGAAGGCTGACTCGAGCTCGGGAACTTATTGGATGATACATTGGTTACTATTGACAATGACACTCATCTTCCTAATTTATTAGCTGGCTCCTTTCCTAGAACTAGAGGCAGAGACAAGGCAAAATTAGGTCGCTCTCCAGCTACCTGATACTACATATTTTGGCACTTTTGGTATTTTCTTTAGGTCTCTCATGTATTTTTCTGTATTTTTTCTTTTTGGAACCATTTACATGTTGTGGTTATCATGTGGGCAGGGTGCTATGCTTGGACCCTCCCACACAATCTATCTGTATCATTCCTTTTTTTTAATATATTAGCCTTTGGGTTTTAAAAAAAAAAGAAATTTTTTAGAAGGTTTATATTCCATTTAATAATTTAAAATATGAACGATCATTTGGTAATGATCCTGATATATCTATGAGAAGATTACAATAGCGCATTTATATTTTATGACAATCAAGGTACTTATCCTTTACTCACTCTGACATGGGGGGTTATTTCTGGCTGAACAAGTTTGGAGCAGCTGAACCGGTTCAGTGGAGAAGAAATGGAACCAACCTGCCCTAAATGTGGATTAGGGCTGCAGCTCAAGTGGAGAGGTCTACTCCTCCTAGTTATCTACTACAATATATATATTATTTTTTTTGTTCAGGGTAGGTTTTTGTTTCAGATTTTTCGGTCATCAACGTCTTTTCCCTTGCTAGGGTAGTATCCGAGGACAGATGGTGCTCTAGCTATCCTGTTCCAAGGTGGTGATTCCTTCCACATATTTCATTGCTTATGCCCCTCACATGCATGCTGTTATCCTTCTTGCGCACCCCATGATCACTACTGCCATCTCTGCGCTGCCCTTTTGGTCCAACCATCTGTTACTGGTTGCTGTGTAGCCACATCCCAAGCATCTGCTTCTTCTGTCCAACCACCCCTTCTTGAACCACAACTGCCTCCAGCTACATCCCTATCACCTCGCTGTCGTCAACCCTCCCTACCACATCAAATTCCCTGTTTCCACTAATCTAGCTGCAGTCCACTCCTTTCGCCCTCGGCTTAGAGTGTCTCTGATGTTTGTGTTATTATTTTTCTTTTCGTCAAGAGTTTTTGTTTGTAACCCTTTTGAAATTTCAGCAGTAATATTTGCATTTTCGTTGCGATTTGTATTAACTCCAGTATCACACTCAATCCTGATTAGAAAAATTATGATAAGTATTGATAGATAGAAAAAGTGTCAGACAGAATTGTTTATGTCTGCTATGTCTCATGCTTAATTAAAAGGAGTTTAAATGAGTCGTGATAGCTAGTGTTCTGCAGTAGTGAGAGAAGCAGAGAAGAAAGAGTCTGAGAAAGCAAGGGATGAATCATAGGGAGTAGATCATGAAAGGCTAGAAACGAAAAGTATGGTGGCAGGTGCAGATGAGAGACTAGCCAGGAAAGAGAACCGGAGTAGATGCTGTGGAGGAAGCTGCAAAAGTATAGCTTGTGAGAAGAGACAAGTGGACTGGGGGAGGTGGGGGGAGAGAAAGATAACCTAGATAACGAGAGAGTGAGGGTAAATGGGCTTGCAGGGTCACATGAGTTAAGAAATAAGACAACAAAGACACAAGTAGAAATCGGGGCACAGGGCAAGGATTTAGTTATTGGAAGATTAATCTGGCAATTTTGTGTGCGGGATAGATAAAGAGACTAGCCAGGCTTTTTGTGTTTAGGGTTGCTTGGAATTTGTAGATTTTTTTTTTTTTTCATTTTTTATTTATCACTAAAGAATATTCAGTTCGGGTTGACATCAAGCATAAAAAAATACATGTACTAGATATGAAAAAGAAACATCATTAAACAATTACATACCCTTCAAAAGCTAACATGTAATGTCTTCTACCAATCCATTCTCTTCTGGACTCGTAGAATCCATCATTTGTAGAACCAAGCCCATCCTTCTGCCTCTCATCAAATACATCCTTTGCAAACTGCAAAGATAGTTATACTTTAAAAAGTGCATTGCCTTGCAAATATAAAATGAAAAAAATATCAATTCAAATAGTCAACAACATAACAATTACCTCCCAAGTTATGCCACGATCAACTGTAAAGGTAAATAGTACAGTTGAAGCACCAGAAAGATTATCAACATGAACTGTCTGCAAAAGAGGTAGTTAATGTATAGTTTTAGGAGTATCCAACACATCTAACAAGCCATTCTAAAACGACCACCACCTTAGGTGATCCTTGTTGTTCAATAATGTTAGCTTTGATATCAACTATTCCAGAGTCAAATTGCCCCTCACTTCGAGCATTGTGAACAAGAAGTTCAAGGATATTGATGAAAAGCTCAAAAAGCCTGAAAAGTAAAATTCCCATAGAATAAGCAGAAGAAAAAAAAAACAGATCAACAATGCATTTTATTAATCCGACCTATTCTGAATATCAGGAGGTAAGCCCAAAATCCTATTTAGAAAACGGCCAACATCGTGCATATCTGAATCCACTATACGACCAGATAGTTTATTTCCATCTTTGCCATTACCTGTATCAAATATTGAGTCAAGAAATCCAATAATACAATGGCAAGCTGGATGAAGCAATATAGAGACACCCGCTGAAAGAAAAAAATCCACTAAAACTGATTGCCTCCAAACAAAATAAGTTGTTTTCCTCCTTTTGCAACCCTTCTTGGAATACATTGGTTATGCTATCCATGGTATATACTAATGAGCCGAAATCTTGAAAATTTATTGGAACACAAAAATATGCCTTCATGTAAATGGAAGATCCATTTCTAAAAATCTTTGGTGACTTAACAGCCCCTCAAGCTGAAATATGTCAATAGGTAATAGTAAAGAGTATATCCCTGTGATGCTGATATGATCACCAGACAAAAGGTGTCCATGATAAAGGATGGAAAGTATTAAGACCGGGTCAGTAAAAGATATTAAAAACCGGTTAATAATTCATCAGCTAAGGCAATGATTACATCCTTAGTATAAGTCATCAAATTATAATACCTATATAAAATAGTATCCCTAATGATTCCAACAGAGATAAGAGCAGCGTTTGCTTAAATAACAATTCATCAAATTAAGTCCTTAGTACAAGTATCAAGAACGGTAAGTAGAAGATATTGAAAATCGGTTAATAATCCATCAGCTAAGACAATGATTATATCCCTAGTACAAGCCATCATATTTTAGTACTTACATAAAATAGTATCCCTAATGATTCCAACAGATATAAGAGCAGCTTTTGATTTGATAATAAACTCTTGAATGCTTGATAGATTGTCAGATGAACATCCAGGAGGTACAACGGCAAGGAGATCCTGGAAATAAATTGCAATTTAGCATGCCAATAATAATGATCTTGTTCAATGCGCACATATTAAATCCGTGAAAAAATTAAGAACCTGTTCCATTATCCCTCTATACATTGTCCAAAGAGCTTTCTTCCCATAGTAACTATCATAATTGTAAGCACTCAAAGAAGGCCCTGCTCTGCAATTTTTACCGAAGTAATATGCAAAATATTAAACACGTTAAGTCCACTATCCCACTATTTAAGTGAGACTGGAAAAGTATCTAGATGTATAAGAACATATTGAATACACACCAAACTCACCTGCGATCTCCTTGTGTTAGAGCTCCAAGTGATTCCAGTCTTTTTGCAACAATTGATGCAAACCGCCGTTCACCTCCAAGATTTGTAAATAGAAGTCTGAATTACATAGAAAACAAAGCACTGCATAAAAAACTTAACTGACAAAAATATCTTCTTTTTCAGAATAAGAACATAAATACTTCTGAAACAACCTATTGTTCACATCTTCCCAAGTTCTATTTCCTGGTCCCACGCAGGTTATTTCATCCGACATAATTTAATCAAGCACATGTCCGACTAAAAAAGGCAATTTGACAAGGCATTTGGATTGTGTCAGTCAACAAAAGTTGCAGCATCCGCTTTTACTTAGTGGCCTCATTGCCACTGTCATAACAACTACGTTCTAATTTCCTATTATATTGATTCAGTTATGAAATAATAGGCTCAAGATTATCAAACCAATCACTTGGATCATCCAGTCTTACCCAAAGATCGCAAGATCAGATTCTATAATTATCGTATTGGTAACCATGGCCTTAGCAAAAGAAAAAAAAAAAAGAAAAAGATAGCAATATCATTCTTTGTATCTTCACCATCATTGTTTCATCTAATCTAATCAGATCGACATGATATATCTGTTGATTTAAAAGAAAAAATTAAAAAATTGTAAATGTTAATTAAATTTAATTAAACGTAGGGTGTGTTTAGATTATGTCGGGCAGTTCTATTATAGAAGCTATACATTTATTGAGAGGTTTGATGGAGAAGTTCAGAGATTAGAAGGAGGATCTACATATGAATTTTATTAATTTAGAAAAAGCTTACTATAAGGTATCAAGAGATATCCTTTGGAGAGTTCTTGAGAAGAAAGGTGTTGATATGACTTATATTCAAGTCATTAAAGATATGCATACAAGAACTGTTACTTGTGTAAAAACACAAGGGGGATTGACCAAATATTCTTCTTATTTCTATTGGTTTACATCAGGGATCAGCTTTAAGCCCATATCCTTTTGCTTTAGTTATAAATGGTCTTACAGGACACTTACAGGAGGATGAACCTTGGTGTATGCTTTTTGTTGATGATATCCTTCTCGTGAATAAGACGAGAGAAAAAGCTAAGGAAAAACTTGAATTATGGAGGTCTACCTTGGAGTCTAAAGGCCTTCGTTTGAGTAGAACTAAAATTAAATACATGAAATGTAATTTTAGTAGTAGTAGTACTAGTGACAGAAATGTAACTATGGGTGATCAAATTATTAAAAGGCATGAATGATTTATATCGCTTTAGATATCTCAGCTCTATTGTTCAAAGTGAAAATGATAATGATGGGGATGTTATTAGTACAATTCAGGTTGGTTGGTTGAAGTAGAGGAATGCTTTGGGCCTATTGTGTGATAGGAAAGTACTGCTTGAATTGAAAGGAAAATTTTATAAGATGGTAGTGGGACCTGAAATGCACTATGGCGCTGAATGTTGGCCTTTAAAAGAGAAGCATAAAACTAAGTTAAGTGTTGCCGAGATTAGAATGATTAGGTGTAGAATGATTAGTTAGAATGATTAGGTGGATGAGTGGCCTTACACTTAAATACAAGATGCAAAATGAATATATCTGTGATAGCGTTGGAGCTCCAATGACAAACAAAATGAGAGAGAGTCGTTTTAGATGGTTTGGTCACATTAAACGTTGACCATCTGATGATCCAATGAGAAGACTAGGTGTACCTACTCATCGTTTCCTTCGTCTTTTGTTGCACGTTGCCTCCTCCCCTCTACACACGACGCCAGATTCTTCGTCGCCTCCTTCCTACCTCAAGCATGATCAAGCCGCTCGATCTCTAAACCAGAATCCTCTATCGTTCCTCCTTGTAGCAAGGCCCTACATTGAAGTCGCAATCGTTCTACTTGAACAACCGAAGCCTTCACTTGCTTTCCCCTTCGCTTCCCAACGACGCAACCTATACGTTATTGCCTCCTCAACCCGTCGAAACTAGCTCAAACCCGTCCGCTCTAAATTGAGCTGCTTCTTTGCCCAAATCCTATGCCGCTCTGCCCTAGCGCACAGCCTTAAGATAGAGCCTTTCCTCCCTTATTTTGAACCCAACCCGACAAATCTACTTACCCGAATCAAAATAGTGACCTAATCTTTTCATCCCACAATTTGCTATTTGTATTTTACATTTCATATTGTACTAAAAAAATTAGAAAATCAGGAAAAAAATTAAAAAATTGTGTTTTATTTCGTCACCATCAATCTCGCTCGCATATAACGAAGTGGTGTGAAGGGTAATTTTTAAAATATTCATTCGAGAAAGCTCTTGTACCCGTTAAGGGAATTAAGTACAATTCAGAGAATTTGTTGACTCAATTGAAATTTTTTGAAAAAATTAGGGGATATAAATACTTGTTCTGGGAAGCGTGTGTAACTGTCTTCAGAAAAAATAAAATACCACTCGAGGGACATGCTTGCTTATTATTTGACCATTTTTGCAGAAACATTGAAGGCCTATAGTGTTTTTTAAGACCATGTCTTGAAACGTATTTTTGCTACCCAACAATAGTGTCTCATGACACTGACCAATGAGTTTTCTAAGACAGTTGAGAATATTGACGTTCTCCCGTGCCCCCAAATGGCAGTTGACACCAAGAGGCTACCAAAATTTCAAGTGATTTGGACTTGTAAATAACTTGAAATCGTGAAATTTTAATATAAAGTGTGGATCATCTGAATTTTAAAATAATGTGAAATTTTGAACTTCTAAAATTTAGGTCCTTAAATTTCAATATTACCTAGAATTTGAGATTTTAAATTTTAGGCTCTTAGGGTTTAAAAAACATTTGAAATTTTGCAACTTCAAAATTAACCTCTAATTAGGATATGAAAAATAATTCAAACATTGGGCTTTTGAAATTTAAAAATCCACCACCGGATTTACAATTCTAATTTGAAAGTAGACAAAAGGCGGTCTCCTTAAAGTACAAAAATTTAATTTTGCATGCACTTAAATAATGAATGTTTCAACTCAAGATTTGCCTTGAAATATGTGCAATTAAACTGTGACCATTCATGTTGTTATGCAAGTGCTATCAAGTTATATACAAATGGCTAAAACATCATGTTATACTTTGAAGGACAAAACACATTATGATCGCATATATGTGCATACTATAAAAATTAACTATAATTTACCGTGTGGGCTCCGATTAAAAATCTAAATATTTTAACGAAAAGCCTAGAAATGTTGCATGGGTTAAGGCTAAAACTTGCATTCAAATAGTTCATATTTTAAATATAAATAAATCAAACTACTTTGTCTATAAGACAAGGTTGTAAATGCCACCAACAAATTCAATCCTCTTTTTGTTAAGATCTAGAATTAACTTAGTCTAGTAAAGTCTAATAAATGTTTAAATCACAAATATAAAAATTTACAAGTCTAAAATCACATAATCTCATCCTACTCTTTGTTATGCATTGAGCCGACAAAACTAATACACTAAATATATCAAAATTGACAAACATCAAATATAAGTTAAATATGAAAGCTCTAAATGTCGAATTCATCGATGATGACCATGTCAACAAAAAATTTCAACCGTATGGGTCACCTTTTAAATTAAGATTTTTTAAAATTAAATTTTCAAAGTAACAAATTAAACACACAAGACTAAGCAGATCGAGACCACAACGACCCGGGATAATGAAACCATGAGATCTTGATCGGATTTGTTATCATTTCCCCCAACATCTGCTTTAGGTTTCAAGTCATAAATTTTACAGCTCAAAATCATGTCTGCTACCAATATATGTAAAATATTCAATTCTAAATGACTAGCCTTAATCGAAAGTACCCTGTTGTTATAAAGAGGTGTAATTAACCAAAGAGGCTTGCGCCTTTGGAAGCCTTGAATTCTATATCAAAAAGTCCTCAAAGAAAAATGGTCAAATCTCTATGTAGTGACAAATCTACCATCTTATGTCTTTTGAAAATTTAACTTGGAACTTAAAACACATGAAGCACTCGACGAGAGTCCCGGTATAATTTCGAATTTTTTCGATACTGTGAGCTCCAACCAATCTCTTGAATAAGCTGCCCCTACTCGAATATATGCTGGAATCTATTTGGTGTTTTGAGTAGTTAGTTTTGGGCTCCAATCTATTTGGATAAACTGCCCTTGTTCGAATATATGCTGGAACAAGCTGCCCCTGTTCGAATATATGCTGGAATAAGCTGCCTCTGCTCGAATATATTTGGATAAGCTGCCCCTATTTGGTGAAAATACTGTGGGCTCCAATCTATTTGGATAAGCTGCCCCTGTTCAAATATATGCTGGAATAAGCTGCCCCTGTTCGAATATATGCTGGAACAAGCTGCCCCTGTTCGAATATATGCTGGAATAGATACTGTGGGCTCCAACCAATCTCTTGAATAAGCTGCCCCTGTTCGAATATATGCTGGAATCTATTTGGTGTTTTGAGTAGTTAGTTTTGGGCTCCAATCTATTTGGATAAGCTGCTCCTGTTCGAATATATACTGGAATAAACTGCCCCTATTTGAATATATGCTGGAATAGATACTGTGGGCTCCAACCAATCTCTTGAATAAGCTGCCCCTGTTCGAATATTTGCTGGAATCAATTCAAAACATAAATTTCGAATATATGCCCCTGTTCGAAGATATATTTCGAATAGAGAGGCACCAACAGAAAATAAAATCAAGCCCCAAAACTAACTGCTCAAAACACCAAAAAGATTCCAACATATATTCGAACAGGGGAAGCTTATTCAAACAGTGGAAGCTTATTCAAGAGATTGGTTGAAGCCCACAGTATCTATTCCAACATATATTTGAACAGGGGCAGCTTATTCCAGCATATATTCGAACCCCACAGTATCTATTCCAGCATATATTCGAACAGGGGCAGCTTGGGCAGCTTATTCCAGCATATATTCGAACAGGGGCAGCTTATTCAAGAAATTGGTTGGAGCCCACAGTATCTATTACAACATATATTCGAACAGGGGCAGCTTATTCCAGCATA